CCCCCCCCCCGCCACAGCCGTCCCTCCTTGCTGATCTCACTGCCTTGTGAAGGCATCTGAACTATCCTGGCCACTGCAGCGCTGCCCTCTCTTGGCGCCCTTGCTGCACTGGTGAGCTTCCCCTGCTTCTTTATGCCCGATAACCTCTCAGTGTTCTGTAATGACGTCACACATATTTATCCTACTTGCTCAGATGAATCACAGTTTAACCTTTGTCCTTTATTTAGATCCCTCCCAGTGTCAGGTGCTCAGTAAACACCTAAATACTTAAAGAAAGGATGAAGAAGCAGGAATTCTGATGACTGAGGTTTTAGTGTCCCAGCAGTTCTGGTCCTCTTCATCCCACACCTGGGCTGAGTCACCAGCCCCTTTAGTTGGCCTGCCCCTAACCTATGCGCAGGCCACACTGCCCCTGGAGCCATCCTCATCCCGCCTTCATGGAAAGCTCTGCTGGTCTTTGATGAGGACGAACTCCTCCTGCGGCCTGGAAGGCTCTCTGCAACCTGATCCTCGCCTGCCCCTTCAGCCTTATCTACTGGCACTCCTTTTTGCACACCCTGTCCTCCTTGCAGTTCCCAGAATGTTCCTTCCGTGTGCTTTTCCTTGGCTGACTTCTCTGGCGGGCTCAGGCTCTTCCTTGTCACTTCCTCTAAGACACCAGCAAGCAGAGTAAGTTGCTTCCTCCTCCTAGCTCCACCCACCACCCTTTGTTCCTCTGCTGCTTTTCTTGCAGGCCCAAAGACTGATCTGTTTACCTGTCTGCCTCCTTGGCCAGATTGGAGCTCCTTGAGGGCAGGGCTTGTCTTTCCTGGCCGCTTCCCCTGGATATGGTGTGTGCACACAGCCCAGGATGCCTCTTGATCAAATGAGCGATACTTTATTAAGTAACAGAAGACACTCTTCCTCAGATTAGAGAGCTTGCTTCTTTCTTGTGCCTTAACAGATTTTTCCCTCTATGAATTATTTTGAAAATGAACAGTGATGAGTCATATCTTAGCAAGGGTGAAACCCAAAACGCAAAGCCTCCAGGACTAGAGTAGGAGGTTGCAGATTGGTCTTGCAGGCTAAACCTGGCCCTTCACTGAATTTGCCCAGCCGATCTCAACCATGGGAGTGGGCGAGACCCTCTTCCCGGTGGGCAGGTGATTTGTTAGCTGGGAAGCTTCGGCGACTGGGCTGTGAACCGGTGCCCTGCAAAGTGCAGGATAATGCCAGGGCCGGGCAGGAGCCGCCGTCCACAGCCGCGGGCCGGAAGGGGCCATGGAGGTCGTCGGGGCCAGCCCCCCATTTCGCGGCCGGGGCGGGGCGGTGGGCGCCGGCC